GGGGAAGACTAATTCACCTTCAGTAAAGCCACCTTTGAAGTCACAGAAATGAGAAAACAACAACAAAAGACTACAGAGAAGGCAGCTCTCAAGATAACCCTGAGCCTGATGGGGAGCCCAGTGCTACCATGTGGCTGGGAGGTTTGCCACAGGAAGTCCCTCAGGATAAGTTCCCTTCAAGAACCTCGAAAGTGAAAGAACATGTTTCCCTGGACAAATCCATTCCAGTGGACAGGGGAAAAGCCTGCAGTGAATAGTCTGGTAAGAAATGAAGGCTCATGCTGTGCATAATGAAGAAAAATCCATGTGAGCATCAATAGCTGCCACAGCATTCCCAGCTGTGAAGAGAGTGCTATTCCACCTGTCAGACTGCAGTCTGGAGCCTAGAGAAGATTTAGCACTGCATATACCTTCTTTGTAAGAACTTCCAGCAAAGGATGTATTTCACATATGTAGGGTTACTAGCCTCACTGAGCATACCTATCTGTTTTGTGTTGAACATTTACAAAGACTTTCAAGTGAGAGGACTTGACTGAGATTCCCAAGATTCTTCTGTGTTCTGAACTTCCTTTTGTCCTTCTGTGGGGTATTTGGTAAAAAGGACTTGGCTTGGGTAAAGTGGACCTCAAAGGCAAAAATCTGTCACTTTGCAAAATCACGATCAAATGATGACTAGTTCAATTGACTGACTAGTACACTGAATCTCAACAGAGCTAGGGATTTCGCCTCATTCCACATGTCAGAAAAGCCAGCCTGCAGAACTGAGGTCAGGACATTTCAGGAAAGCAAGTGGCACAGACAGACTAAGATACACCTGGGATACCTTGTCAGGGTGGGAGGGAGAACAGGGCTGAAATAGCAGGAAACATTGCCATTCAGGGTTAGTAAGCATGGAGGGCACCACTGGAGAGAAATGTATGCAGCCTCTGCTGTCTCCAGTGAGAGCTGAAGGCTGTGTTAGTATTCACCCAGTGGATGACCAGAACTTAGCCAGCTGAGTCTTTACTTGTAACAAGAGACAAGCCAGCTCAACAATGTTCAGCTGCACATGCAGTCCCCACTAGCTTTTGTGGGTCAACACACATCTTTACTGAGGGCCACCTTCTGTAATTTTGAACTTTCCATCAAAGCTCACTGATTAAAGCAGTTGTGAAGGCCTGGCCACTAGCCTTGTCTTTCATTCTGTAGCCTGGATTCCTAAGGAAAGATTGTCATGATCATACTGTCTGTTTTTCCTGCATTGTTATCCCTTATCCCAATCACATTGGATCCCAAAAAACTTTTATAGCCTTTTCAAAACAAAGCTGGCTACAACAGTGCTAATGGACAGTCTTACCCTGAGATTTAGAGCCTTTAGTCATTCATCCCTCCTAGTAATTAAATGTGCCATGCCATCCACTCAGACACCTCTCAGCTACAGCCACAGGCACAGTGGTGGAGCACTGACTTGTTAGAGATAAGAGCACATATTCTCCAGGCATAGGCTGCTGTGTTTTCACATATTACTGTAGCCAAAGGCTCGGCCATGTTCTGGTAGCCTGTGGCAATGGCAGAGTGGAGCTGAGAAAATGAAAGCTCCTCTTCCTGAGTCACTACACAGCCTTTACACAACCCAAATCAATGCCTGATGGCAAGCACAGTGGGGACAAAGTGCTGCCTTAACAAAAAGAGTAATTTAAAACCATTTGAAAATGAAACACTGATGATTACTGTTGATTACTTCCTTTGGTCTTCTCCATTAATCACATCAAGGAATTGGTGGAGGTACCTGAGTTTTCTGAACATGACAATAAAAGCCACCACACATATACAAACAAAAATGAGAAGAAAATCAAACACCTATAATAAGAAGATAAGCTAACATTATTGCAATCCAGTGGGCACTAACTTCTTCTGAGAGACTCTCCAGCCTGGAGACAAATAAATAGAACTAAAGAATAAAAAAATAACATAGCAGGAAATGACTGCTTCCTGACTACCTCACCAACATGAAGGCAACATGGGTCTGAATTCCAGAAATGCGAACTCTCAGCTGGGAGCAATGGGAGCAAGAGAAGAGGTCTGTGGCCATCCCCATGCTGTGCTGAGACTGGGATGAACTCATCACAGAGCACAGGCTCAGTGCTGGGGGACCAGCTCACCCAGGGCCTCTGATAGCACAACTGTCCCCATTAAAACTTGGTAAGAGTTTGAGAGATATAGGCCTCAAATCACAGACTCATGAAGAGGAAGCCAGCTGACAAAAAAAACCCTCTAAGAATGATCTCCTGAAATTAAGAGAGTTGCTGTGACAGATACAGACATGCTCAGAAGAGAGGTTATTACTTGCCTCTTTCTTCTCACCCTAACTTTGCCGAGAAACAGTTTGTATTGTAACTCTAATATTCCAGCATTAGGCTGACCTCCCCTTCAGTCTTACTGTCCCACTTGAGTACTATTAGCTCTGTGCTAGAGACATAACCCACAGCTGCTGATGCCCATGTGCAGAGTTGGTGCCCTCTCATTCCAACTTTTAAAAGGGCATCACAAGTCCTGGCAGTAAGAAGAAGGGTTAAGAGTTCGTGCCACTGCCACAGGATGCTCTTGTTAAGATTCACAAGCTGCTCTTCTGTTTTTATTCGTAACTGTTGGTATCTAAAATTTTCCCATGGTGTTATGCTCTAAAACAGCAAGAGAAAGCAAATGTGTAACTAAATACATATATGATATAATTATATAATAACAGCAATAATTTTGTAATAACTGGAAGTGTAAGAAAAGTGCCTAAACCAAACATACCATGCCAGAATGAACAGTAAATTAGGCTTTTAAAATGTCTTCATGTTTAATAATCTAAAATGCTGTTAAATTACAGAGGTAAAGCTATCATCAATATATACTTTTATTTCCACAGTGTCCCTTTGTTCTTGTCATTGTTGGTTGGTCACCTTGTACAGAGAGAGGTGGGGGGAAACATGTTTGAAGATTGGAATATATTCTGGTTTTGATTTACAACAGGAGGTTTTGATTTACAGAGGTTTGATGCCTCTGTAATGTGACCCCTACTGCCATAAACAGACAGACAAACATAAAAGTAGATAAACAAACATCTTTTTTTTATGACATTGACAGCTCACCCCAAGTGTCGTTCCCAATACTTCACATATTCATGTCCCCAAGGAGGCTGAATGTAGCTTTCTTGTCCGGGTTACCATGCAGCCAGTTAAGCATCTTTTACTTTGTGAAATACCGTGAGAGGGTTTTCTGTGAGAAACGTGCCTCTGGAGCCCTAGTTCTCTCCTAGACGTATAGCTGGTGCTTTATCTGGAGCTCAGGTGCAGGGGCGATGGCCGGCTGGCTTTTGTCACATCAGGAACTAGGTGTTTCTGACAGCAGTTTCCCTGGCCTAGACAAAAGCTCTGGGAAAGCCTCTTCTCACTTTCCTCCAGAGAAGGAAATAAAAAGAGATTTTAAAATTCACTGCACGTGATGTGCTGCTGGCTATTGGCAGGCACCCTGGGAGCTACAGACAAATGAAGCTTGCCCTGCTGGTTTAGGCTGCAATGACCATGACTGCAGGGGAATAGAGAGTGCAACAGTACATTGTGCAACGTGGTTTCTGGGCAGCGGGATGGAGAACAGGATGGAAATCTTATTAAACATCCCTGGACAAGGCAGGGTAGTCAAGATTGGTGCTGGACTCGAGACCAGGAGCTGCAGAATTGCTCATAATGGAGTATTGGCTGCGAGTAGCCAAGGTTAATAAGGAACATGACTTTAGTTCGGTACAGAACTTGCAGCAATTTGCTCAGTGGATGAAAATGAGAGGCGTGTTGTAAAGGTTTTGTTCCCCAAACATGCATCACTTCAGGAGGCAGTGGAGTGAAGCCATCCTGTGAGTTATATTTCCATCCAATAGATCTTTCCTAAGCCTCCTGCTTCACTAAGAGCATGCACATGTAACAAACCATTAAGCACTGTCTGTGCAGACATGATGTACATCGTAGCCAAGACCTTCAGCCCTGAAAGCACACACTTCTGTATACCTGAGCTAAAGAAACAGCTGGTTGGACTTAGCATGCTATTGCCACCAATAAAAGGAAACAACCACCTATCTTAAGGGCTTGTAGTTCTTTCTGGATAGAGGGTGGAAGTTCTGACTGGGTAGTAGCTGTTGAGAACAGCATTTCTAAAATGGCAACCCCCTCTCAACACTGTGCCTGTTCCTTTTGCATCCTCCTTTGTGTAGCCAAAAGGACTTGCAAGGGAGAGAGGGGGCCTGGATTTCCCCTTTGATTCTCTCCCTACATCTTCTGACTAGAACTCCTAGTGAGGTAACTGAGTGGAAGAGTTGGTGTACTTTCCTTTCCTCCTCCTCTGCTTTCTCGTCAGCTGTCAGAATGAGCATAAATACATCCAAGGACCAGATTCTTGTCAAGAGTCAGCCTGGAGGGGCCAGTGAGCCAGCTGTGCCCATTTTTCATGCCACTGAAGTAGTGCACACAACGGAAGGCACCGTGGTGACACATGCATTGGATGGGTCATCCATCCTTTCCAGATATGGCCCTACGTTTCCCCTTCCACCTCCAAAAAGGGAGGAGAAGGAAACAGGTTGACATTCTTTGAGTTCACCACTTATTTTTTACCTTCTTGGATTAGCTTGAAAATAGGCTGGGGAAGGGTGGCTCTGGAGCCACATTTTAGGTCTGTGAGTACAGGAGGAAAAGCTGAAGGGAATACTGACCTTCCCAACAGATTGTCTCTCCTCCTCCTTGTGCTCAGGAGGGCCATCACCCCAGAGACAGCCAGCAAATGTCAGCTAGGAGAGAGATTCCCCAGCAAATCTGTGGGAAAAAAGGAAATGAGGGACGCTGCCTAGGATTAGAGGAACTGAGACGGGTCTGTGCCAAAAAGCACCAATATGGTCAACAATCATCTCTACATCTACTTAGTAGCTGCCTCTAAGCACTAGCCCCATCCTCTTTTTGACCCCAAAGAAAAGCCATGGTAACACATTCATTTTCTAGGTTGTTTGTTATTATTTTCAAAAGCAGGACAGCCATTTGAGCTCTTAAATTTAAGTACTGAAAACTGGTGGTTGTAGAACAGCAGCACCTTTCATTTGTCCTTCACATGAGTTAGAAACCTGATAATTACAAAAGGGATGGGGCTGAGTGGAGCTTGTTGCTGGTCTAAGAGATGAGAAGGTTGAGTTCTGTCTCTGCTTCTTTCACTGCGTGTGGGCAGGAGATTTGTCATAGGGGAATGGCAAACCCAGCCAAAATAGAGAGGAGGCTGCTGGGCTCACATGGATGGGGGAAGAGATAAAAAGATAAAACGGTTCCAGAGAAGGAACGTCACAGCATGGTACCCCCCTGCCCATATGCATGCTCTCGTGCCCGAGAGAGACAGCAGTTCTCTGTGGATCGAGGAGCATGGGGGGCCCTGGGAGGACAATCCAGTTTAGTTGCCACACTCCTCTGTTTAGCATTGGGGTTCATAGTCATTTTGCCAAGCAACTGTAGTGGCCGCCCTTGGAAAAGGGACTGAAGCTTCACCTCCATAGTAGAAAGGGTCTTGCCTCCCCCATGTTGTCCATTGAAGAGAAGAGAGAAACCAAGGTGTGCGAAAGGCTGCGAGAAAGAAATAGTACAAGAGAGAGGGGAATCTTATTTGAGGACACGCTGAACACAGTTTAGACCCGGGTATGTCTACAGGTTCGCGATGTGCCTGAGGCTGAGGGGGCTGCTGAGGTGGAGGGGGACTCCTCGTCCGTTGTGTCCCCCTGCTCCTCCTTGTGGAGGCCAAGGCTGATGTGGCTCTGTAGAGCTGCTGGGGTCAGCCACTCCTTGGGGAGGCAACTCTGGAGGAAGGGGATGCATGAGCTGAAGTAGGCAAGGCGGTTCACCCAGCGGGGGATCTCTTTCCCACATAGTATCTGTGGAGCAAACCAAAAAGGAGCATGGTTAATAGTACCAAAACACATGCATGGTGGCAATGTCATCCCCATCCACCCCACCACCTCGGCAGGGTGAATTCCTGAGAGAGGTGTTTGAAATGTAGGGAGCATCTTCTGCAGTCAGAAACAGCTATAAATGCAAATGACGACACAACTGCTCGACACGCAGAGAGCCCGGCCAGCCATAGCCCTTGTCAGCATCATAGCAGAGGCCAGGGAAAACCGAGTTCATGGCCCTCAACAGCTCTGGACACTCTGTTCTCCAGGCAGACCATGGGTGAAAGGACAGGCCTGCTGGTGCTTCTCAACACTAATTTTCCAAGTAGCTCAAAAATTTTGGAAAAATATTTAAGCTGTTGCTGGCCAGACCTGGAGGAGCCCAGAAGCTGAGCCTGCCTAGGTGGATGGAGGTGTCTGAGAAGCTGTTCTTGCTGCTCCCTTTTCCTTCTTGGGCTGACGCACCAGGTCGGTCAGGTTACAGTATCTGGGGGTCCTTTTCCTGTCCTAGCACATCACCCTTTCATTTCTTCTCATAGGGTATTTCCTAAATGTGGGAAAGCAAGAAACAAAACAGAAAAGTACGAGCTTCTTGCTAGGGCTGTGTTTCATCATCGATGCTCCTGGCAGTGATTTGGGTTACACTCTGCTAGCACAGATATTGTTTTCCAAGATCATCTCATATTCAGCACAAGGAAACAAGTTGCTGCATAGGGCAGCTCCTTTCTTCCGTAGCATTTGACCACATATACGTACAGGTGCCAGATTTTAGTAGCAGTATCTGGCTTAGGGCCTGTAAGGAAAGTTTCCCTTTACATTTTACCATTTCCCTCACCAGACACAGGAGGCAGCACGTGGAACTGAACAGCTGGGGTGCCTCAAGAGCCTGTCTTTACTAAATATAATGCCTGTGCGGCCCTTCACCAGGATACTAGAGCCTGAAGTCTGTGGGAGGTACAGTAGTTATAATGCCTGAATTCTTCTTCCCTCCCTGCGCTGTCTCCCATGGACCAAGACAGGCAGGGAGGAAACTCCACCCCACAGACCTCGTCCCACAATTTATAGGGATCAGTGGTTCCGGGGTTATCCATACTGCACCTTCTGCCAATACTAAATTCCTTTGCTCTTCCTCCTACCCTCTTCTCATCTAAAACTATACTTAATTTAATAGTAATTACTGCAAAAACTAAGAGGGTGTTTGTCTGTAATCCACTAAGGAGATTATTTGTTAAGATGTCTGTTATTGACAATGGAAATGCAGTGCTTAGAGGTTTCAAGAGATTTTCAGGGAGCACAACTGGAGACTTGCTAGAGGATGGTCTGTGCTGCGTTATAGTTGTTATGGCTGATGACAGCTGGTCCTTCATGCGTGTGGCCTGGGCAGAACGATTTAAGCCCCACTCCAACAGTCACCTTGAGGATAAGGGAATTAGCCTGCTCCAACAGCATGGAGTTTCTAATGAGGTGTGGAGAAGGCGGCAAACCTGTGTCCTGCTAATTTGACTACAGAACTCACTTTATTTTGACATGCATTGTTTAAAAATCAATGTGTGAAATTGAAGACATTATCATTAGGTATCAGAGAATGAGCAGAGCCATTTAGCTGCTAAAATTACTTGCAAGCATAGACTGTTCCTTACCTAATACACCCCAAGGACTTTTATTTCAGTTCTTACCAGTGCTGCATTCTACTTAACCTCAGGTACAGCTATATGAATCTGTATTTTTAAAATTTTTAATCTGGGGACAATTACTTTGTTAGCAATTCTTTATCTCCATACAGATCTCTGGTTTCCATTGCTAGAGCTATTGCCTGAGCCTATAAGCAGATGATCTCTCCACCTGTGTTTAAGACTCATTCATAGAAAATTTGCTGATCCATTTGATTTTCTCACCAGACATATCTGATCATTTTCACAAGAATACTGCTGATTTTTTTTTTGTTGTATTCAATATGTTCTACTTGAACATTGAACATGAGCCAAAGACAAAAAACTGCAGCACAATTGCCTCTAGATTTTGTAGTGTTTCTCTTTCTTCCTCTTGATGAACTTAAGGAACATATTGCCAGTAGAGGAAGTGATTCAGTTTACGCTCCTTGTGATGTATGGGTGCATGTGAATTTAGTTCTCAAGCAGTCATAAGTCTTTATAATAAAGACTTGCGCCCAGATATTAACAGGGAAAACTGGGGTATGATTCTTTGGAAAATTAGCTGAAACAACAGAACAGCACAAGGCAAGGCTGCCTGAAATGGAAATACTGTTTTTAAGAGTTGGCTTTCTTTTTTAAGCAGATCCCCTAGCAACTGAAATAGCACTTCCCAATGTGGAAGCAATGCTGAGATGTTTGCCTTTTGTTTATGGGAGCTTCTTCACCCAGGATGAATCAGTGAGGCAAGGAAGAGCCAGAAAAAGAATGGAGATGTGTGGGCATCAGGCCATCAATCAGTAAAGGGCAGTTTGTGGAGATTAAGAATAATGATGAAGTCAAAGCGGTTTCCCTTTTCTCAGTCATGCTTGTCCTCACCTCTTGTCAGTGAAGCCTCGTTACTATTCCACAGCAAAACACAATGCTCAACAGGAGCAAAAGGACAACGGCAGGGAATGCCACAAACACGACAGCCTGCTTCTGTGTTTTTTACTTCTTGCCATAAAGCATATTGTGCTGGAGCATCCAGAGGTACTTAGCTAATGCAGAAACATCAAATAAACCTGACTGCAGTGGGATTAAGCCAACTGAGTTTAAACAAAACAGCACACGCAAGATGAAGTGGGTGTTTTCCAATTGCGTATGAAGCCACAGAAGAATCTACCTACTGCAGCTCTTCAGGGCAATTCTCAACTGAAAACCACACACTGGAACACTAAACTCGCAAAACCCTCTTACCATCCATTGTTTCCATCAGCAGAACTCTTTGTTAGATGTTTTAGAGTTTAGGATATTACTTTTTTTTTCTTCCGTGCCAGACAAGTGGGGTTTTCTCTTTTGAAGGGGGTAAATATCTCTGTGATCAGTCACATACTTGTCCTGTCAGAGTTAGTAAATAAATAATAAACTGTTATGGGTTAGAAATTGCTGCTCCTGACCATCATATCAAATTGTCCTGCTACCACCACTTCACAAAACTTAACATACCTGTAGTGGAGCCTGAACTTGACATTGGACAAGAAAGTAGCTGAGCCTTTTAATACATGGCTGACTGGAGAAGCAACTTTAAAGAAACAGACACAGAAGGGCTAAGTCTATGTGAGATAATAAGCTCAGGGGCTAACTATAGCTTATCTGAGGCAGAAAAGTGTTTGGGATGGGAAACCCTGTGGAGTACATGAGAGGCTGGACTACTGGCAGCAATGGCTGGAACACCTCAGCCCATGTAGGGCTTCCCCAAGCTTTGCAAGCCTCCGGTGAGCAGTGTCCAGCTATCATAGCTGAGCATAACACTTCCTCATCTTTTTCTCACTGTCAGGTTCCTGAGGGCGTGAGTTATTCTCAACCCCCAGAGGCAGCCAGGCCCTGCCACAGACAGAAATCCAGTGTTTGGGATAGCGAGCGCAGCTTCTGGTTGCCCACCGAGAGACCAGACCCCGTTTCAGGCAGAAACTTCAGCAAAGGCTGCATGTACTTGCAGCTTCCACTGAGCGGCACCTTGTGATAGAAAGCCGAGTCTCCCATAGCTGCAGCTTCTTCTGGGGACTCTGTGCAAGAACTGCAAATGACCCAGCTGGCATCTGCAGAGTCAAGTGGAAATAAGAGTTCAGACATCCGTGGCTGAAGCCAAATGTGCGGGAGAAATGGGACCTGACAGTTTGGGTGCTATTTCTAGGCAGCTGTCAAATCCACACCAGGATTTCAACTCATCAAGAAACAACTAATTTGGGATACAGAAAGATCCTCTGAGCATCTTGAGCTGTGTTATTTTGCACTAAACAGTCACTGGTTAAAACGTACAAACTGCCCTGGGAGTAAGGACTGCACCCCATCACTCTTCCCTAAGCGCCCTAGTTCTTAAACTAGGCATCACTGCTCAGCAAGGCCTTAGCACTTCTCTGTAAAGTTTTACTGTGGGCAGGGGAACAGCCCAGCAGCTGGGAAACATGGGTTTAAATGCCATCCAGCAATGGAAGAAGCTGAGCCTCCTGCCTTCTAGAGGACAATACTATCAATGTGCTGCATTTTGTGAGGGCTTTGGGTCTATGGGCATATGCTAGACATTATCTGAGGTGATAGTCTAACAGGCTGAGCCCCTTTCAAAATAAAGTGAAGGGCTGATTAGTTGTAGATCCTAAGAGAAAGCTCTCGAATGCAATTAAGTTCTGTGTTGTGCTGGATGATGCCATTGGGGCAATTCAGGCCATGCACAGAGGTATAACTCAAGGCATTTAGCAATTTTTTTTTTTAAGTGAGCCTTCCCAAAGCCACCATGTAGTGCTCCTATCCGTGAAAATCAAGACGAGCAGAGGCAAACAATACATGCTAATTACTTCAATTCTTGTCTTCAAACTGAGGCTCGGAGAGTTCAGCACTGAACATCTGCTGACCCACCCACTGCCACTTCCACTTAGCAGCCTTGCTAAAGATGAGGTGGCATCCACATGGGGCATATATCCATATGAGCTACTGTACAGTATTCCCCTTGGTGTGTCTTGGAGAATGAAAAGGGCTTTTATTGATGCCTGAGGAGTCTAACACACACCCCATAGCACTTTAAGAGCAAAGCCTTTAGAGCCCAAGGGGAATCTTTCCAGTGTTTGCATGAGTTGGCTCCCACAACGCATAGGAAATATAGCATAGATGATGCTTATCAGCATTTCTGAATAAGGCTGTTAGATACAAACCAACACATCTGCCCAGGCAAAGCTTGCAGGCTCTGCTAGGGCAGCCAAAAAACATACATAGAAAGAGAAGCATGGCAACGCAATTAATTAGTACTCAGACACAAATGGAATAAACCATTAACATGGGTTAACAGGGACATCTTTT